CGAACTACGTTACACCATGAATTCCACCTTGTAAGCACTGGCTCTGGTGCAAGTGATACAGTGGCATGTAGATCTCTGATTTGATTGGTGATAGACACCCTATATTAAAGCTTACTGCTTGTACAATGTTTGAATGTGGTTTTTTTTTTAAGAGGAAAATAAGCTATCCACATCAGAAAAATGTGTGCATCAGATGTCACTTACTAAAGAAAGAATGTGTGCTTTGCAGGTGACATGAATTGCATTGGGCATCATTCCATGGAGCACATCAGAGAAAGCTTTGCACATATACATTGCTTTATCAGGCAGAAATGCTAATATCTTGTTAAATTCCAAGCCATAGTTTACAACAACCTTCATTGCAGCTTAAGCCACAGTAGAATAATTGACGGACATGAGGCAAACCATCTCTGAAAAACAGACAAGTCACAGTCTGTCCAGCTCCCAGGTACAAATAAAATGTTCAGAACATAGTTATTTTGGGCAGCTGTTGGTTCATCTGCTACAATTGAGATTGATTCATATTCTGCCAATGCAGAATTTGTAGACTGAATATGCAAAACAATCACTTCTGGTAGATAATCTTGGTGAAGCTTGCTTGTACATGGGAAACTAGGAGCATTTGCCATGTGTTTGTTCAAGTGGTCCCTTAATTTAAGGTTATCAATTCTCTCCAGATGAATGTTGGCAGCTGTGAATACCTCCACTAGCATGAATGGAGCCTCTTTTCTTTTCAAACTGCTTTCGCTGTTTCTTTTAAACATCAAGGATATGGTCACTTGTTTCTTGCTCTGACCTTCAGTCTCTGAAGCAGCCTTTCACTTTACATGCCATTCAGACTCCAAATGCAGATTAATGCTATTTTTTTCTTGACACATTCAGGGATATGTTGCATGACAAATAAAACAATTTACCACCATCTGTATGCAAGGCTCCTACAGGGAACTCCCTTAATACAATCCTGAGCTGAAATGTATTTAGCTTTCTTGGATTTCTTTTCACTCATCTTCAGGCTTCAGGATTGCATCTGGTTTCTTAAAAGATGGCTTTCTTGACTGGTGCCTTTGCTGAGTCTATGTCAGTAGCTCAGCCTCTAAGTAGATCTCTCTCAAACAACATGCTTTATGCCTGCTGCGATTGTGTAGAAGAATACACTTTCTTTGTATTCTGGTAAGCTTTTTTCTTTTTTTCCTTCTGCTGATTCTGTGCAAAAATCACTGGAAATGCCATTTTTCATGGTGACTTTGAAAACCACTATTTTTTGCAGATTCTGCAAAAATCATGTAACTGTGGTTTAAGTAGGTTGATATTGATACTTAACTGCATAAAACCCTGATATGCTACAGGCAAAGTAAGGAAACAAAGGTGTAGCTAGCATCCTGCTTCTCCCAGGGTTGTGAAAATACACTTGAGAGATGCAAGGAAAAGGGCCCTGTTTTTGCCTTCCTCTATAATAGGGTACATCTTCCCACTGGATTCAGTGGATCTTCCATAGGCGGCACTGATAGTGCTTCTCCAGCAACTTTAGATGTGTCCTGTACATTGTCCATGCTTTAGCTCCATACAGCAAGGTGGGGATCACAACTGCTTCATATACCATGAACTGATGTTGTGATCTTCAAGCAGTCTTTTTCTCAGGCATCCAAAGGCTCCACTTAAACATTTGAGGTGATGTTGGATTTCTTTACTGATGTCAGCCTTCTGTGAGAAATGGCTTTTGAGGTACAGGAACTACTCTACGGGGCAGAGCTGTACTGCTACCCAGTGCATCCATGGGTGGTGGATAGCAGAATGACCTTCAGAGGAGGCTAGCTGTGAAATAAGCAAGGGTAACTAATGAATAAGTAGTCATGGACCAAGCAGTGGCAGCACCATCTGGATGTTGTGAGGACACAAGATGGCAATGATTACTTTTCAGAAAAGCTGCTCTCTGTAGTTTTCACCAGTTTAGTATTTGGGCTTTTGGTTTTTCTTTCTGAGGGGTAGCATCTCACATTTGTTAGTATTGAACTTCTTTCTGTTGTCCCAGTTTTCCAGTCTGTCAGGATTCTTCTGAATTGTGCTTCTTTCCTCTAGTTTGTTCACAATTCTTCCCAGTTTCATGTCATCTACAAATTTGTTCATAAAGCTCTTTATTCCCACATGAAATTGCTTAACTCAAGGCCACAAGTCACTGTTTATGTAAGATTAGGATCAATAGCCTGACACCCCTAATGAGACTTGGTTGCATAAGTCATCTTTTGAGGTAGAGGTCTGATGGCACCCACCTTCTACATAATTAGTGCAGTGGTTCTCAACCTTTTTAAATGCAAAGCACCCCTAATTTTTTTTTTGTCACTACAGAAAAATAATAGGGCAATTCTTCTGTTACAAAGAAAGACAACAACAGACTTTGCTGAACCACACATTGAGGGAAAGGAACCTAAGTTCTGATTAAAACTGATTTGTACTAATAAATTCCTATTTGAATCCAAGCTCAGTTGCTTTCTTTCTCACTGGGGAAGTTTGGGGTATGTGCAGAAAGCAAAAGTGCAAGCACATAGGAAACTTTCAGGTCAAATAGGGAGGTGCCTAGAAACCTCCTTAGACTAGAAGGGTTAAGTGGCCATCAAGTAGGAAAGTTTGGATTGTAGTTTGTGGCTTCCTTAAGTCCCTCTAAATTTTGTCTTAAATGCCTTCTTTTTAGTTAGCCCAAAGTTAAGAGGTAATATGATTGTGGTCTGTATAAACCCATATGGAAGGTGACTTCTGGCAGTAGAAAGCTCTTGAAGAAAGTAGAAAAAAAAGTCTTAAAAGATGCAATGCCTGGACTCTGAAGCCAGCTAAATTATGGCTAGAAATTTTTAACAATAAGAATATCACCATTGAAACAAGTTACAAAGAATTGTAATGGCTTCTGAATCAACTGAAGCATTTAAAACCATCCTGGATATTTTTCTAAGATTATCCTGTAGCTCAAAAGCAAAATATGGTCTTGACACAAGAAATACAGGATGATTGTCTCTGGCCACTGCTATATAAATAACATAGTGGTCCCTTTAGTCTTAAGATTTGTGAATCTGTGAATGATCCTCATTTTAGGGATGGGGAAATTCCATACAGAGACCATTACAACATGGCTAAATTTCCTCTTTTGCTCATTTTTTATATTGTAGAAATAAGTGAATTATTTTAAAATGTTGGTACCTGGAATATGTGTACCAAATGGACAAACAGAGAAACTACTTCACAATTAAAAAGAGTAAAATTCCTGGTAGGCCTTTTCAGAGGAAAGTTTAAAAAAAAGAAAATGAATGAATATTTTTGGAAACGTATAGGAAAAAATGCAACAGATTCAAAAACATACAAATATTGTAGGAAACATGTTAAGAACTAGCTAGTTAAATCAATATATACCCTTAAGGTCAGGAAAAATGTCAGGAAAAATGTCAGGAAAAATGGAAAGCTTGGAATAACATATTAGAGAGTTATTAAAATCAAAATTTAATTATTAATTCTTAGAAGAAATAAACTTACCAATTTATAATGTAGTCTAAACTCATTTGTCAATCTAAAGCAGTGACTGATTGCTTAAAGCTTCATTTGCAAGTGTCTGATAGCCACTAGGGATGAAAAACAAACAAACAAGAAACAAACATATTAATAAACAAAAACACCCCTTAAAGAAATACAAGTTAATTACCATATTCTAAATTCTAAAAAGAAAAAAAAATACATAAACTGCAATCTATCTTTCATGTGTTGCTGGTTTTTTTTGGGGGGGGGGTATTTTTCATTGCCACTTTTACAAAATGCCAAATATAATTGTTAAAATAAAATTATCCATCACTGTCCATTTTGACTTTTAAGGAACTAATCCAATGACCTTTAGAGATTCAGAGGGGCTCAGAAATGTCTTTATAACATGGCTTTATATTTTTTTATGGAAATAAAAGAAGTGTGTATGTGTGTGAAAGAAACTCCGTTTGTCTGTAATGACCAAAGAAACAATTCTCTATATAAAAGCTGAGTGAGTCTACAAAGTTCAAAAGACTTTTTGAGGTTCATGGGTGTTATGACCTTGAGAAATCAATAACAATTTTGAAATGTATCTAAAACTATACCTAGCTGATCATCATCAAGTCCATACACGTTGATTAACTACACATGGACCACTGGCAGAAGAATACCCTGACCCCTTAATAGGTTGGATGAACTTTGGTGTCTGACATCAATGCCACTTGGGCTTTCTTTATAATCCATTCTTTTCCAATTTGTATTTGGAGATCATGGAGGCATGCAGTCTCAAGAAAAGGAAATATGCCAACTGTAATTCCACATTTCACTGACCTCTGTGCCTTCTATATCCATGTTTTTCTTTTATTTACCATAAGCAGAAATAAGCTCAAGAGAGAGACATCCACAAATCATTTCCTACATGGTTTCCAGTTGTAATTTGAAACCCTCTGTTGGAAGCTAAAAGGTAAATTATAGTTACAGAAGAGTGTCTCATGAAACTCAGGCTTGTTAAGGGTGACTTAAAAATCAATCCTAAGTATCACAGCAGACATCACCCTAACCAATGCATAGAATAACATAAAAAATGCTACAAGATCTTAATATTTTAATGTGAAAGCAATCCAAATTTAAAAGAAAGATAAGAAACTGATATTTCTTACCTTAGTGAACTATGCCTTGAAGACCACCAAGATTCCTTAAATTATGAACTGAGCTTTATTGACTGTACATTAGAGAATATACAAACTTACAAAGTTCTTCCTCATAATGTGAATGTAGATAGGATTTTAAACTGAAGTTTTTAATATGTGCTAAATATATTTTATGACATACTTCTATATATAATAAGAAATTTACTTACAGAATTCAAAAAGGAAATTGTTGTCTAATATATCCAAATGCTGTACTTAAATAGGTTTTTCATCTGAATTCACTTAGATCCAATAGCAACATTATTTTATATTTATGATTTGCTTTTTATTCCCTATTGCTTTGTTACAGATAGAGGTATACATAGGTGTCACCTTGCTGCACCACTTAACTGCAGCTGTCCTTGGAATGGAAATGTGGTAATCTTTTTTGCACCAACAGTTCTACACACAAGCATTTTAAGAGACAGTGTAAGGTAGGAAGCACTCAAGATTTCAGCAGTGGGATTTAGTCTTCAGTTCAACTGTTACACTCAGTGACAGTGACTTAGTATATCATGCTTCTTTAATGGTTTGTTTGAAATGAGCTGGTGGTCTTTCTCAACTAATTTTTTTCAGGGGACAGGCATCATCATGGATAATAACTGTCTATCTTCCTGTCAGTCATGATAGGTAAGTCAAAGACAGGAAAACTGAACTGCTTTATCATACCTAATGGTGTTCTCTTTGAAAAAGGATGGATGTAGCATACAGAGGTTTCGATGGCTATCACTCATGTCATCCTTATTCTTTGGGTAGAACAAGGATATTTTATCTTCATAGCTCTAAATGAAGCAACATTCAGGAACACTACATTTATTTTAAAAATGAAGGAGACTGAATAAAGAATAACATCCTAGTTGAAAATTCTGGAAGAATTTTCATTTAGAAAAAAACTGTTAAAATCACCATTTGGACAGAGGACTTGAAATGACACTCCTGTTTTTCACATAATTAAAACTTTGTTTAAAACTTATTTAAGAAAAGAAAAAAATATTAGCTATTAGGTCACCCTAGAGAAGTTCTGTCCTGATCCAGAACCATAAGCAAGTTTTCCCATTTTCTTCAAAGTACTTTGTATTAGGTCCTTAGGCAGAGAATTTTTGATAAATGTAGTGTGCTTACACAAGCTACATTTTTCGTGTGATTGGGCACCTGAAAGTGCTTTACAGCCATACCATGACACATGTGCATGGCTGTAAAGCACTTTTAAAAAGGCTGATTGTGCAAGAAATTAAGCCTCCTCAAATGAGGTATTAGAAAAGGTGCTCTGCTTTAGAGAACTTGTGTTTCCTAGGGTTAATTTTTCACATAGTGGGGACTATGCTGATTCAGCCCAGCTCCACCCCCAAGACTGTCAATAGGGAGGGAGGTGGGAGGGAGGAGGAGGAAGCACTGAGCTGCTGGCTGGGCTTTCATACCCCAGAACTAAAAGGGTTGGGCATGGATCAGAGCCCCCTCATCTTGCAGGCCCAGCCTGGCTCCCTACCGGTACCCCAGCTGAGCTGGAGGTGGGGCTGTGAGGTGGGGGGCTCTGATAAACACCTCTCCTCCAGCTCAGGGTAGGCAAAGCCCAGCTGACAGTTTGGTGCTGCTTGCTTCCCTCTTCTTCTCCCCCTCCTCCCTCCCTCCCTGCTGACAGTCCTGGAGCTGAGGAAGAGGGGGGCTGAGGAGAGGGGTGATTTGGAAGCCTCCTCAGAGAGTCCTGGAGCACCCCCGCCTGCTGCCTAAGAGGGACAATGCAGGCAGGCTGGATGCCTCCAGGCCCAACAGGCAAATTTTGTTTCATCAAGGAGGTGCTGTAACTCATGGCTTTTTTAAATAACTTGATTCATAGATTTTTCATCCTTGCTATAGCAAATACTGTTCCCGCCACCATCTTATTCACTGTTCACTAGTCTCTCTTGTTTTCTCCAAGTTGTCCAAGATGTGGATGAGACAAGAAGCCAAGAAAGTCTGTTCTCCCCCACCCCACCCACCAAAAGGAAACTAGTATAATAAACATTTCAGAAAAACAAACAAAAAAGACAAACACAAAGAAAATAGAACATGACCATTCAGCTATTTTTATAATTTAAGCAGGTACATCAACTCTCTATAAAGACTTTACGTATGTTAATTTGAAGATACTTTGTGGGTGACATCCATAGCATATTACGTACAAGTGGAAGGTGCACATATACATCTACATGCAGTGGGGTATATAATTATGATACAGTGGTTTTTTTTAAGACATTGTGTAATTCTGTCATAACTGTATCAAAATGTATGCAGGTGATGGACAGGGTTAAGGCAGAGTGTCTGAAGGTTAGTTGTTCAAATCAAATGTCCTTTCAATATCTTTTCTTAGGCAGAAGGCAGGGTAGAAAAGTACCTTTTAGACTAATTGAATCAGAGTTGCAGAGTTTCATGAGCAAGAGCTCACTTAATCAAAGGCTATTTATATCATATATTAGCTACATATATACATATATGCATATACAACCATTCTGCCAGATGGCAGCAACAAGGGCCAGGTTCGCCTGTGGGGTTTTACACAAATTGATTATCTTGGCTCAAGCTCCCCTGCAGAAACCTGGGAAAATAATTTCTTCCTGTCTGTTTCAATTGAACAGACTTCCTCACTTGTAAGAAATATCAAACTATAACAGGGTTTATTAATGCATCCACACCAGAAGACAGGAGGGTGATCCAGGCTGACCTAGACAGGCTCAACAAATAGGTGGATGAGAACTTGATGGTGTTTAACACCAAAAAATGCAAGGTTCTCTACCTCGGGAGAAAAAACCTGCAGCATGCTTATAGTCTTGGCAGTGCTATGCTGGCTAGCACTATGGAAGAAAGAGACTTGGGGGTCAGCATTGACCACAAGATGAACTTGAGCCTGCAGTGTGATGCTGCGGCTAGAAAAACAAGCAAAACACTGACTTGTATTCATAGATGCTTCTCAAGCAAATCCCGGGACATCATTCTCCCCTTGTACTCAGCCTTGGTGAGGCTGCAGCTGGAGTACTGCATCCAGTTTTGGGCTCCACAATTAAAAAAGGATGTGGAGAAGCTTGAGAGAGTCCAGAGAAGATCCACGTGCATGATCAGAGATCAGGAAAACAGAACTTACGACGATAGGCTGAGAGCCATGGGGCTCTTTAGCCTGGAAAAGCACAGGCTCAGGGGAGATCTGATGGCCACCTATAAGTTTAGCAGAGGTGACCACTAGTACCTGGGGGAATGTTTCTTCACCAGAGCGCCCCAAGGGATGACAAGGTCGTACAGTTACAAACTATTATGAGACCGTTTCAGGCTGGATATAGGGAAGAATTTCTTTACTGTCCGAGCCCTCAAGATCTGGAACAGCCTGCCATCGGAGGTGGTTCAAGCACCTACACTGAACAGCTTCAAGGGTAAATTGGATGCTTATCTTGCTGGGATCCTATGACCCCAGCTGGTTTCCTGCCCTTCGGGCAGGGGGATGGATTCAGTGATCTTCTGAGGTCCCTTCCAGCCCTAATGTCTATGAAATTTATGAAATGGAAAAAAGGGAGGTAAGCTGACAAACAGATATAAGAATCTCTTAATAATCAGTGCCCCCCCTCAACCCACTACTAATAGTTAAGCACAGTCAGTAGCTTCACAGTTCTCACTTAGTCCCACACATGGGGACAGTGGAGTAGGGCTAAAACAATTCTTATCCCCAGGTTTCCCTTGGCTAGCAACTGCTGATGTTGCCAGTCATTGCCACTGCTGGGTGATGTTGCTTCCCATTGTTCCTCACTGCTGTTGGGCATGTTGCTCCTTCGCCTCACTGCCCACTTCTGCTGGGAGGTGCTGGTCCTCATTGCTGCTGGCATCACTGCTGGGGATGGGGGGCACTGCTCCTTACCACTGCTGGTCCTAATTGCTTCTCACCAATGGTGGGAGGGTGCATACTGGTTGCAAAGGCAATCCAGTTGTCTTAGGCCATGTCCACACAAGCATGGCCTTTTGTTTCCCCAGAGACAAGAAGCAGCAGCACACCTTGCGCCACTGCTAGTTGTCCTCATGGAATGCCTGTGCCATGCACCCTGTGGTGCACATCAGATTACCCTGGGTGGTGTAGAGGAGACTTGGGCCAGCATTGGGCTGGCCGCAGCAGTCTTACCTGGGGTACTGGGGGACTCTTGAGGCTGCAGCAGTGGAGATCTTACCGGGAACTGGAGCATGGCTCTGGCCAGCCAGGCTCCAGTTTTGAGCAGCACATGTTGTACCTATGTGCACCACCCTAAATTATGTGGTGCCGCAGACATGTCTATGGTGCCATATACTTGCCACATTCCCAGATTCACAATCTGGCAGGTTTATAGATAGTATCCAAGATATTTGAAATTGCTATTCTTAAGTGAGTTATGTGTAGGGCTGCATCAGAGAAGGAAGTAACACAACTTATTCAAGAGTAGAGAAGTAAAAGGTTTTTTTTTAGTACAAATAGATATCACCAGCATGCCTAAAATGCTGACTAAGGCAGAGGTGTCAAAAATACAGCTCATGGGTCTTCAGCTGACCCTGAGGCCTCGTGAGGGCTGGCATAGTGTACGCAGCACAGAGTGTGCATTGTATATGGTAGCTATGCCAGGCATCTCAGGCTGGTCTGTAGCAGGCCATACAGAAGCCAGTTCAGTGGGAGCTATGGAGTTCCCTTCTGTTATTTGTTGGAACTGGATTTATGACCTAAATACCTTGTTCTGGGTAGACCCAAATCCTCAAACTGACCTCAACTTCTTTATTTGATAATAGGCAAATTTTGTTGATACACAGTGATAGCAGATAAAATGAATGCAGGCAAGCCAAACAAAATAACCCCCAGGATTTTATATGTACCAGTCCTATGGCTGTCATAGAGGGAAGGTACATCTGGCCTGTATACAAGCTTCACCCTGAGGTTCTTTCTTGAATGTCAGATGATGTTAGCCTGGAGGTCAAAGGCCAAGGCCCACCCTTCCCTAGTGGGGTAGGTAAGACCGACTGGTGGTGTGCCTGCTGTCCATGGTGGATTCGGGTTCCCCACTTGGGGACTACTTGCTGCTCTGAAATCCCTCCTTTTATATCCTTTTCATCCTCTGATGACATTATATTTCCAGGCATTATTGATTGGTGTCCCTGTGGTCATCAGACTGTTTACATACTCCTTTGTTTCGCAAAACCATCACATGGACCCAGCTTAATTTGGGCATTTTCCGGGTCCCCTAATTTGGTGTGTCCACCAAAACTGGAAACTCCAAAGGCTCTGCAGTTGGACACTGTGACCTAATGACACCTTATCTCATGTTATGGAATAGTGTTCATGTTTCCCCGTCTGTGTATGCCCACTTGTCTGTTGGCTTCAGACACATTATCTGCTGGTTCTAGACACAGAGGTCCTTGAAGGAACCTTTGTCACAAACAGGCTTTTAGAAACCAATTAACCCTTACCATTCCCTTGGACCATTGTTCTAATGCAATCTACTTTACCTACAAGCCAATTTCCAAAAGCAAACCTCTAAATATTATTTTCTAGCCATAAATATTCTTTAGAATTTTTAAACCTGATCTATTTCCACACGTTGACTTTTTTTCAGCCTTAGAAGGAATTACCATGCAAAGGTTGCAGTACTTATCTTGATCAGTTTTAGAGCAGCCAGCCAATCCTGAATATATATAGTTACAGACTGAATCCTGATTTCCTCCAGGTAGATTATCAAATACCTTTTAAACATAGGCCTGCAAAAATTTGCTCTCAAGATTGCCAAATTCCATGCACATTGGTACAACTGGGATTCCGTTTGCTAAATAATAGCCTTCTAGATTATAGATCTTATAAATTATTAAACAGTAGCTTTAATCCTATTTCATGCAAAAGGATTTTAGATTCAGTATGTCCTACAATTGCTCTGTTTGTTTTTGTGTTAATGAATTCTTCTACTAACAGGTCACATGGAGGCAAAGATGGAAATGAGCGATTTCCTCTCTGTGCTCTTATTCTGATGGTTGGTGCAGTTTATATTTGTGGACCACTAATTTGGGTGTCAGTGGGCTCATCTACATGAGATGCTAAATGCACAGTAGACTAATTTTACTGTGCATTAGTGTGTCACAGTGAAAAAAAGTGCTAATGCTCTAATGCGTGGTAGAATTAGTCTACTGCACATTAAGCATCTTAAAAAGACTATACACCATTGCTACCGTGCATTAGTGCCAGCTACTCCACATTTATGTAGTACCTCATATTAGAGGTACTAAATGGACAATAACAACAGCTCATTAATGCACGTGTAGATCTCTTCCTATTCTACCACATTTTTCCTTATTCCCAGAATGCTCCTTATGTTTACTACCACCCCACAATGGCTTTCCTCAGCTAATCTAGGGCAAATGTTTTGTCATTGTATACTGATGGAGGAATACTGAAAAATGGAACCAGGTGGCAAGAGTCTGACACATATCATACATCTGGAGAAGGCAAAATGAAATATATATGTGTGTGTTGGTAGATAGATAGATAGATATGTCATTTTACTTTGCTTGCTTCACACACACACACACACACACACACACACACACACACACACA